AAAGATATTGTAGACCGCCCAGAGCAGGCCCATCCTTCAAAACATCAAATACGACCCCCCTCCCAGTCAAGGAGCCAAAGGTAAGAACTGGGCGAATAGTCAAGCCAAGTCCATCCAGATAAGTAAAACGTTACTAGAGGTTTAGAATTTTCAAATTCAAATGAGCAGAAGTGCAGGAGCAATCAAACACAAGATTTCTAGCTCTTATGAATATGGTTTGGCCCTTTCTCCCGGGATCCGTTCTGTATGGGGGGAGGGGGCGGCGGTGGGGTTGTCATGTTTTCTCGAAAGCTTTGACTTGTCCTGGTAGATTTTTGTACTATAGAAAGAACGAAAGGTAAAAATCAAAAATATCTGAGTCTGTTACAGCTTCATTTTGGCGTTATTTCGCACGATCACTACGACCACTTGGATGCGGACGCCGTCACGAAGATCAACAGGTACAGATATGAAAGACCACCAGATTTGAAAATAACCGTACAGCTAAAGGGAAAAAACAAGTCACCTAGAACAAGTTAAGGAAAAATCAGTCTTTTGAGGCGGAGGGCTGGCCTTTGATCAAGGGCAGACCATTTGCAGGCCATTTGCAGACTGTCAATCCGTATCAGCCGTTGATTTCTAGCTTATTCCAGGATTAATTCGATGGGACAATTTTCTCTGTGAATAAAGCAATTAAGTTCACATCCACAAAGCTAGTGCCTCTTTCGTGACTCGAAAGCGCGTAGCAAGAGCACCGACAACTTATGGTTTAGGAACTCCAGCACCTTATGGAGATCTAGCCACCCACCTTGGCAAATATGTTTATGGCTGCGCCTCGCTCGCCCTCTATTCTCTGTCTCTGTTCAGCTACTCTATATCGTTGAAGCCCAAAAACTTCACTTCTAGTTCCTATGTTCGGTCTTCTTGAACCCTTCTTAAAAGTTACAAGCTAAAACTTCGAACCGACTTCAGGTCCTAACGACGAGTTGTTCGAAACGTCGACCGAATAAATAAGTTCCATCGTAACAACCTGTATGGCAGAAGAAAAGCAATATACTTACTTCTGGTTTTGGGCTTTTCCTTTTTTTCTTCACTGGCGGTCATTTTGCACCCCTGCTTTCACATTCAAATTCAATAAGCACACCTAGGTAATCGTAATGCGCCTTTGATGATAGCTAGAGCGTTACACATCCTGCCATGATCAACAATTTAAAAGGATTTGTTTGAGCTTCAATCCGTCCATGCGATGGTTCGTGCCGCTGGGCATGCAAGATTGGTTGAAAACAATCGGGATAAAGAACACATCGGAACATCCGGACAAGGTCACCGAAATGGAGTGGTAAGTCCGAAGTTCACAATTTCGGTTATGCCTCCCTTTACGAAGTCCGAAGTTTTAGGGGCGAAAACAAATCCTTCAAAGCAAATCGACACAGAGGTTAGCAGTTTGTATGTATCCGCTCAACACTGGGGACAGAGAGGAGCTTTCGACAGAAATGAG